CCGGTCCCGGTCTGGTACGGGGGCGACACTGAGGGTTGCAATCTGTTGCCGGACACGGAAAAAGACAAAAAAAAATAAATAAATAAAATAACATTAATGAATGGCTTGAGTATTTAATTTGTGCACAAAGAGTTCTGTAATACTGAAAATAGTAGTATCATGTGGTCATTTTCCAGTGAAAAGCAGAATCGTATTAAAGACAGTTAGGAAAACCAAGTTCATGAAAAACAATGGATTTAATCACTTTTGAATTATTTAGGAAGCAAAAAGAACAAAACCTTCACTCTGTGATAATATGATATTGCATATTCTTTGTTCTAATATTCAAAAAAGAGAAAGCTCAGCTAAGCAACAGACAACATTGACAGACTAATTTATTAATAGAGTATAATGATTGGGTACATTTATCTAATAATTTATGCAATGGTTAATCTATAAAATACCTTACATATATTATTTTGACACTTGGATATTTATAGAAAGGGACATGGGTTCTAAACCATGGATGTAATCTTAAATAAATAAGTTTATATTAAATCTATTTCTTTTTGGAAGGATCAATTTTGCTTTAACCATGATTTTTATTATCTGTGACCTCCTTTACCCCAAATTACCCCAGTTAATCAGTAGTTAACTATATTTCACTTATGATCCCAACGCCACTGAAAAAATAATTAAGTATACTTATTACAGTATTTTTCTTACCTCTTCTACCAGATGATCTTGCTCTTTTTGGAATGGATCACTCTTTTTGGCTGGTAGAGACCCTCCAAATGTACTATTCTCTATATTCTGTGCAATATCTGATGATAGAGAGTCTTCTGCTTCAAATTCTGATATTTTCTTAGAAATGGTCTTGTTTTTCTCTTTGGGAGTTCTCATTTCTATGTCCTGAAGAAGACAGACATGTAATATTAAAACCTTAATAACCATGGCTTGTTCTTGAAGCCTTTTTCATTAGAGATTCATTGGTTATCACGAACCTATAAAAGGCTGCTAATATTGTGAAATTATATGTTCACTGGTAGAATTAACTAATTCCAATATTCCCACTTAGCAATAGATAACTTATAATTAGAAGTGTTACAAAATGTACAAATACTGGGAAATGTGAAAATAGAAATTAAATTTAACTGTAATATCAACAAAAATAAATATTTTATCATAATTCAGTATAGTCAGACTTAATTAAAAATTGTTTTAAAATGTACCTTTTCAAGTAGTGTAACACTGTTTCTATCTGAAGATGAAGCTGGTTGCAACAGGAAAGAGGCAGGGCTAAAAAAAAAGACGATAAATCCAAGTTGTAAGTTAGAAAGAATTCCATTCACTTGATGCATTTGAATATTCTAAAGAAACTGTCTGCCTCGTATCTGTCCGTTACGATTTCACTCAATTCGTCCCGGTCATCGAAAGGCAGTTTATTCTAGGGAGGTAAGGTGACAATTAGAGCAATACTTCAGCTCGACTTGTGTATCAGCCTCCCAGGTATGAACAATTTACGTGTCCATTATATATATTTTTTAAGTCTACACTATGTTTTAAAAGGGTTAAATGACTTGATGAACACTCAAAAGCTTGAGTACACATTAAAAACAAATTCAATTAACTAGAATTGCATTATTACAATGTCCTCAGGGTCCAGATCACAGAATTTCATTGTAGCAGACTTTTAAGTTTTCTTTTGATATTTCATGTCCAAAATCAATCTCTTATATGCTGAATTTTGCTCTGTAGCAAATATGTTTATGTTACACTTATAGTAAAATTAAGGTTATTCAGAGTTTTAGTTTGCTGTATTCTGTGTGCTATACTCCTTAATCCTTTAGATTCCCTTGCTCCTTTGGATAAATATTAAAACTTCATGCATCTTTCATGCCATTTCATGTTATTAAATTTTTGCATGCTATTTAATGTTATGTCATGTTATTAAATTTTAAAAACTTTCAAAGAAATGATAACTTTAAAGTAATTACTTTATCTTGATCTTGAAAGATCTAAATTCAAAGGCCAAAAGCTTTTCTACCCTAGGTAATACGAAAGATAGGAGGAGTACCACAGAGATCACTTTCAACAGGAAGCTTGTTGGTGCTTTGCTTTCTTTTCACTGCCAGAGTATAAAATTAACAGCTATGCAAATGTTTTATATAATAGCAAATATAATTTTTCAAACTTTCCTTCGGAATCCCCACCTACCTTCTAAACACAATTCAAAATCACTGCAATGCTCAAACTTCAACTTAGCAGTGACAGGATATAATCCAGATATTGAAGGCAAATCATCTACTGGGATTTTATCTCAAGTTTTGCAAATCATTACACTAAAATTATCAAAAAGCCTTCTAAAACAGGGCCAGCAATCTATGGACCAATGCCACTGAAATGCCACAATCAGAACAAAGGCTATGTCTTTACCAAGGGGCTATTCCCAGGCATTCTCAAGAACTAACACAGTGCTTGGTGGTGCAATACATATATGTTGACTGTTTAATGGATTGACAGAATCAATAAGTAAATGTCACTTGAGGGTGGGGTTCTATAGGTGACAACAAATGTTTCTATTGAATCATTCCTGTGGAGCCGTATAATAGAGAACAATGGAAACATATTCCATATGCTCCTCTCTCTTGTTTCCGAATCAGCAACATGCTATTAGCCCTGCTAACATTACAATCCAAGACAATTTTAATGCTGCCCTTGTTCAGTCCTTATTCTCTATCTACTTGCCATGCCAATATTAAGGCCTATGAAATCTTAGCACTGTAATAGATCAAAAGAATGGGTGTTGATCCCATTGTGGGAACTTATCCTAAGGAAAGAACACTTCCAAGAGGGAAAAAAAAGTGACATGCTTCTTATGGTAGTAAAAAAATTGCAGAATACTTAAAAGTCTAAAAAAAAACTGCAATGTTACAAAGCCATTATAAGTGAAAATTACTTAATATAATGTTAGTTAAACATACATACACACAAAAATTGTTTATACTATGTTGAAATGTTTAGAAAATTTCATACTTTAGAATATAAGACAGTATTCATGCTTTGATAAGAACTAAATTTACATGACTGTACAATATACAAGACTTAGAAAAACTTCAGAAAAAAATCTGACAAGTGATTTGTTAGAAATTTTAGCCAATTATTAATTTTTATTTTCTGTTGTTATTATACTGTATCCATAGTTAGCAGCGAAATAATAGAAATTATAAAAAGGGAAGAAAGATAGATTTGAATTTGATTTCTAACTCTAAGGATGTTTAGCTGGCATATATCCAAAATCATACCGCACTATCTCTAAAATGCAATAAAAGAGAAAATGTAGAGGTTAAAGAAAGGTCTAGAACAATAGCATCATCACCACTAGGAATATCATGGACTCCTCCCAAAAACCACTATCCAAAAACCACTGCAAAGAAAGATAGTGCCCTTAATGTACACCAAAAGCATCACCAATAACTGAATTCTAATATTAAGTCTGGTGCCACCTCCATCAACTCACTTTGACCAAAACAAACAATGAGATTTACAGAGAAGGCTACTTATATTTTTTGGTACCTGTCAACACCAATTGTATGTGAAAGTTACTCTCAACACACTTACTCTAAAAACTACATTCTTTAAAAAAAACTACATTCTTTCCATGTTTTTTAATTGAAGTTATATTGATCATATCCACATATGAATTTCCCAATTAACTACATTGTTACTGATGTAAAATGATGCCACTACAAAGAAAATATTTAGTGTAAGTGCTGAACTACATGCAAAAAAAGGTATTCTTTTCTTTCATTAAGTGCAATCGAAACACATTACATATTACTGATGAAACATTAATTACAAATAACTTTAACAGTTAAGAATTATGAGCAATCGGATTACTTCCACATCCCAGTAACTCAAATCTTCACAGGTCTTGTTCTGCGATCTAGCAGTAATAATCTTTCATATCCCATAAAGTGTTTATCCCTTGCCACCAAAACCCTTCCTCTACCTCCCTGCAATATCCCAAACCTATAATTAAAATAAAGTATCAGAAAATAATACAACTTCTTTCTCCTATATTAAGAGATTCCATCTGAACTAAATTCTTAGGGGCTGGGTGTCTGGCTCCTGTAGAATTCTCATAGTGTATCTCAGTACAAAGTTCTTCCAAAAAGAATCTTGAGGTTCAGTGGAGTTCACAGATAAAATCTGATTTCTGTATTAATCTAGTATACCATCAATCTTTAGTCCAGCAAAAGACCTTAATCAAAATATTTACTTTGCTCTCCCAAGGGAAGACAAACCAAAAACACAATTGAGATTGGGAAGTATCCACTATATCCCTCTAGCTAGCTATAAGAACAATTGTGATATGGAGGTAAAAAGAGAAAGCCAGTAACTTTACTGTCTCTTCAATAATAGATCTTCATAGAATATTTCATTATTTTCTTTAGGTACTGTAAGAGTATGTAGAATGAAGAGTGCTTTAATAAAATTTAGAATTTTCTCTTATAATTTTCCTAACTATTTTATTTTCACATCTGTCCCTCATCTACTTAAGAAAGTAGGACTACAAGACACCTACTTAGGTCAAAGGGCAATCAAAAAATAATAATAATACATAAGGTCTGTTCAGTATCTGTTTAATTGCTACTTAATAATGCTTAATTTCAACAAAGAACAAATATATTCCCCAAGTGGATAACATATTTTTAATCTAGAGGTTTTTTGGCTTTTATAATCTGGCAACAGTCCAAAATGGGATAATAAAAAAAGCAAGAAATAAATAAAATAAGAATACTAAAGAAAGTTACAACAAAGTAGGTCCAGTTTTTTCATATGTTAAATTTTAGGGTTAGGTCTTCCAATTTTTTTTCTAAAGCCAAGAATTGTTTTACCAAATGGTTTATCAAAAACCCCAATATATTTTACAGATAAAAATAGCAAGCTGCTCAGGCCGAAGTGGACCAGCCCTAATCCACAGCACCAGAGGGCACTGCAGAATATATTATGAAAACTACCAATCTAGATGATCTCAAAGGCCCCAAAACTCTTGGATCTAGTCAATAGTCACAGTGGTTTCAAAAAAGCTTGCACATACAAAAAGGCAATAAATCCCAACTTGCATTAGAAAATTCCCATATTTTTTTCTTCAATAATCAGATAATACCCATGAAACCCAATATTTAAGATAAAGAAGAAGGAAAAAAAAAATGCCCACACATCATATATGTTGAATCTTTTCTGAAAATGTGGGTCTACACTAGAAAAATACTGTCTGGTTAAGACAGTGAAATTACGCACTATCCCATGGTATAGAAGTTTGGAAATTGGCTTAAGATAGGACTAAAATTAATATAGAAAAACAAATCAATATGAAAATCAAATTTGTTTTACCTGTTGGCTAAATCACGTACTGTTCCCAGGGTATCATTATCTTTTCTGCAACCATTTTCTTGGTTATATTGCTTAGGTATATCTAAGGAAACAGAAAAATTAATTACTCTTTAGCTATGTTTGTACATTCTAATATTGAAGGAGCTCTTGAAATTCTAGAACAACTTCTAAACAGAAAAATCAGAATAATATGAACAGTAATAGGAAAAGGTAATTATTTAATTGTTATATGTAAAGGGATGGGGAGGAAAATAATAGAGAATATCTAGTAGTAGGCTTTTAGAAAAAGACTAATAACTCATACTAAAATGAGTTTCCAGGGCTGGCCCGGTGGCGCACTGCTACAGTGTGCCGCTTGGGAGCGCGGCGGCGCTCCTGCCGAGGGTTCGGATCCCACATACAGACCGGCCTCTCACTGGCTGAGCGAGGGGCGGGCGCAACACCGAGGGTTGCGATCCCGTTGCCGGTCCCGGTCCGGTACGGGCGCGACACTGAGGGTTGCGATCCGTTGCCGGTCACGAAAAAAGACAAAAAAAAAAAAAAAAAAATGAGTTTCCAGAAAAGTGACAGTCCATAATGTTCCAGTGTTATGTAACCATGCTTCATGTTTAAGTACTAAGATCATGCAATTATCACATAAGCCAGCAAGGCCAAAAAGTTGCAGTATTTAGCATATGTCAGCACAGCATTTATAACATCAGTCAGCCTACATATTTATTCATCAACCCATCATTGAATAACTATTTGCCACTACTGAACTAACAATGGGAAAAAGAAATAAAAGATGGAGACCCTACCTCCAAGGAGTCAGTATGGGAAAGGACAGTGATAAGTGAAGCGTTAAATTATACTGCTATAGGGCCGGCCCGGTGGCGCACTGGATAGTGCGCCGCTTGGGAAGCGCGGCGGCGCTCCCGCCCGAGGGTTCGGATCACACGCACCCAAAAAAAGCTAGTAGGGAAACTTGCCAGAATTTGAACCCAGATCTGCCAAAACTCCAAAGTCAGACCATAATTGTGTCTCCCAGTGTGTAAATATCTATCAAATACTTTGTGCACATGTGTGAACATGCCAAACTTTGAATGATTTAAGTATAACCTGTATTTTAATACTTAGGACAGCATCATAAAATTAATTTCTAAATGAATATTGAAATTTATACTGCTATAATATTATGACAGAAGTATGCACTGAATGCAAGGAGGCAGCCTTGTAACACCAAGGTCACAGGTTTGGATCCCCGTACCAGCCAGCTGCCAAAAAAAAAGAATGCAAGAGGGCAGAGGAGAGACACCTGGACAGATGAGGAGTGAGCAGGAAGAAAGTAATGAAGGTACTGAGAGAATAAGGTACGAGATTGGTAATGCTGGAGTACAGGGTATATCCAGTGGAAGCATGGTAGGAAGTAAGATTGGTGAAGTAAGCCATGGCCAAATTACAGAGGATTTGATATTCCAGGGCATCCTCCTCTTTCAACATGTTACCTTCTGTAAGCCTTTCTCATTTGTACAGGTATCCAAAGTGTCACAATATAAAAAGCCAATGTGTATAATATGCAAAGTTTTCCTCTTAATCCACTATAATAGTATGCTACCTCTTATAGCATTTTCAATACCCTGACTCTATTGTTATAATGGAATTACTGATGTTTATAAAACATCCCAAAAGTGAGCACAAATACAACTATACCACAAAATTAGTAGATAACCATATACTAAAATTATTACACACAACTATAAACACCATCTGTTGGTGATGGGCAGAGTTGATGCATGTTTCTTCTGGCATTTAAGAAAATCTGTAAGGTAAGAGTTGTTAGTGAAAAATGATTTAGAACTATTTTTTTCCCTAAAGGTGAAAGGAAGCCATTGATGTGTTGTACACCAGGAAATGAAAAGGATCATATTCCCATTACGGAAAGATCACTAATAGCCATTTGAAACACAGAACAGATTGAATATTGGAGGCAGAGTAGCTAGTTAGTTAGAACACAGGTTCAGGCAAGAATTGCTGAGATCTAAACTACAGCACTTAAGATATGAGGACAGGATGGCTACTTAGCTCAGGTGGTTAGAGCACTGTGCTGTAACACCAAGGTCAAGGGTTCAGATCCCCATACCAGCCAGCCATCCAAAAAAATAATGTGAGGACAGAAAAAGAGGGGACACATAGAACAGGGAATTTGGGAAGTAAAAACAAAACTGAACTTACCACAACAGAGCAAACCAAGCTGAAGCAGACACTAACTCCTACCATAAATACATTAGAATTCCTAAGTGTAAGAAAAAAAACAAGGAATGCCCAAAGGAACAAAATACCAGCCAGAACCAAAGACAGAAAGCTTGATCAAAACAGTAAGCTCAAACTGAGAAACAAAGGCCCAATAAGGCAGGTTTCAGAGGCTGAATTGGAGATTTACTGCCTACATAGTTAACAAGAAACATCATCTCAGGCCACTCAGGCTGGGATCTGAAACTGAGAGATTGTCATAAGGCCAGGACACTGCAAAGGCTGCTCTAACCTTGAAAGGGAGACTATAAAAAAAATCTGCCAACTGGACCAGGGAAGTAGCAAGGAAGCCTACTGCCTATCTAGAGTCCTGGTGAAAAAAAAAAAAAGAAAACAAGAAAGGAAAGAAATTCAAAACATAGTCTACTCAAAAGGAGGTAGAAAATCCAAAATTATATTGGCTACTTGTAGAAAAACCCAAACCAAAGGCATTAACTGGCCTAATTCAAAAAAAACATCTGGGTCATAGACATAGACAAAGACAAAGATGTAGACATAGACATAGACAAAGGCATAGATGTAGACATAGACATAGACAAAGGCATAGACATAGACATAGGCAAGACATAGATACAGACACAAAGAAAGACAAAGACAGACAAAGGCACAGACATAGACAAGACACAGACAGACACAAACAGAGAAAAAAAGAAAGAAAACACTGGGATTGTAGGTCACTCTATAGAAACTATTCTAAAACCCCAGAGCCCATGAAACTCCTCCAGGATCTCTGGAGAGACACACTGAAGTTGAGATCATGATCAAATATTTTAATAGGAAGCAAACAACCATAAGAATCAGAAGCACAACATATAGGAGCAGAAGTACCTTAAACACAAGAGATAAGAGAAAACTGAAAATCAGGAGATGTTAAATGATTAGCAAAAAAGACACAAAAAGTCATAATGAAAGAAAAGGACACCATGAAAAAGAAGAAGCAGTTTTGAAAAAGAAGCAAATAAGGCTTCTAGAAGTGAAAAGTACATTCATAAATATTAAATACTAAATGGACAGATCAAAAAGCAGATTAAACATAACTAAAAGATAATTAGTTAAAAGGGACCATATGAGAGATTTGAGGAAAATACCCAGAATGAAGCCCAGAGACACAAAGAAGTTGTAAATATGAATGAGAAATTAAGAGATATGGAGGATAGAATTAGAAGTTCCAACAATAGGAGTTACAGAAGGAAAGGATCAAAAGAATAAGAGACAAGCAATATTTGAAGATATAATGGTGAATAAGTTTCTAGAACTGAACAAAGATATGAGCCTTCAGAATAAATAAGCACACATAAGTCCCAAACTGGCTAAATAAAAACAAATCTACATTAAGACATGTCTCCATGAACCTGCATAATAAAAAAAAAAGAAAAATCATAAAAGCAACCACATATCAAAATTTAATTACCTATAAATAAATGACAATTAGACTGACAGCAAATGTCTCAGAAACAGAAAGCAGAAAACAATATCACATCATGAAAAGTCCTAAAGAAAAATAAGTGTAGAACTAAAATTCTATATCCAGCTAATCTTTCACTCAAGACTTAGTGAAAAAGACATTTTCACAGAAAGACTAAGAGATTTTACTAATCAGGGTCTATCATTAAAAGAACTAAAGTATATACTTTGAGATATACTTTGCAAAAGAAAGGAGTAGAGTAAAATAAGTAACAGACCAAAAAATCAATAAACATGTTGGTAAATCTAAATATACACTGATTGTTAAAAACAATTTATATCAATATCATTTTTTAAAAAGGTGAGGGCATTATTCTAGAACACATTGTCACTAAGAGGACAAAACCAAATGCAATGAGAAAATCCTCCTTAGATCCTGGTTCAAAAAATAAACGAGCATTTACAAAGGACATTTTGGGCAATAATAAAAAACCTGTATTCATAAACTTTAAAAATAGATAAAAACAATATTACATATTATTTATAGATCCATACATATGTAACAAAACTATTATTAAGAATAAAGATAAGATTCAGAATAGTAAGTATTATCTTTGTGAAAGTAATGAGTGGGATCAAAGAAAGGTTATCTACATATGTACTTTAAAAAAAAAAAAAAACCTAAAGCAAATATTGCAAAGCTCTGACAAAAAGGCTGTTTGATAAACAGGTGTTTATATTATTCTCTGTACTTTTCAATATAATAAAATTTTAAAAAACACTTTAAAGGTAAACTACTTTAAGTAAGATGTAATGTGTAGGAGAGGAAAAAGTTGTTTTACCACAAAAAGTTCAAAATAATGTTGAGATTCCCCAGCTCAGACCAAGGTTCTACCTAGGAAAAAAAAGGAATCCCAAGAGTACAAACTGTACAATGCCCAGAGGACAGGGTTTCCCCAAAGAACTACCAAACACTTCTAAAATGAGGACTTCCAACTGAACTTCCTAAACAAACACAAATATTCCACAGTTTCAAGGTGGATACAGAAATCTCCAAATGGACTGGCTAGTTAGCTCAGTTAGTTAGAGCACCACTTTGTAACACCAGCGTCAAGGGTTTGGACCCCAGAACAGGCCAGCCACCAAAACAAAAAAAAGAAGAAAAGAAAAATCTCCAAATGTACATAAGGACAATCCCATGGTTTCAAAGGGCTTAAACTAAGCCTGGCAAGAGTTTAAAGGCCTTTCCCAGCTGAATTAACAGTGTCAACCAAATAGCCAAGGGCTATCAAAATAATTGTATCTCATAATTAAGGACTTCTCAAAGCTATCATGAAACCAGAATGCTCTATCTAAAGCCCCTTCTCATTCATCAAACCATGCAGCCTTCTGTATGTCTGTCTACTCTTCTAGCCACACCTATCCTGAGCCTTGCTCTCTAGTCTACCCAACCAGTGTCCTCCCCAAATAGGCCTGACTCTCAAACCATTCACCTACCCACCACCCTTTTCTTCCTAAGTCCAGTACTAACTGCTATCATGATCTTTGGACTACCTGAAATATGGCCTACACTACTGCCTGCTCCAGCTTGGCTATATAATTCATCTGTTGTTTTTTTTTGGCGGCTGGCTGGTAAGGGGATCTGAACCCTTTACCTTGGTGTTATTAACACCGTGCTCTAATCAGCTGAGCCAATCAACCAGCCCATTTGCTTTTATTCATTCATTCTTTCAACTACCTATCTTCTATTTACCAAACCCAATTAAAGTTTCTTATACACATTACTGGGCAATTGGAAAAACTGATTATAAAATGGATATTAGATATAGTGGAAATATTAATTTTTTAAATGTGATAATGGCAAGATAGCTGAAGGAATTAAATGTGAGATGATATTACAGACATTAACTTTTTAAGTGAGATAATAGTATGGTAGTTATATAGGAAAATGTCATTTTTATGGGAAGGCACGCTGAAATACTGAGAGTGAAGCATCACAATGTCTAGAACTTACTTGGGTTTAGAAAAATACATACATAACACATATAAAGCAAATATGGCAAATGTTTATTGTTCAAACAGGTGGTGGGTACTCAGGTTAATTACTGTAGTACTCTTTCACGTTAAAAAAAAATTGTGGGCTTCCACACAAAATTTTGTTCATGAATGTTTATAGGAACATTACTCTAATAGCCAAAAGGTAGACACAACCCAAAGGTACATCAACAGATGAATGGATAAACAAAATGTGGTATAGGCGTACAATGGAATATATTCAAATGAAGGAATGAAGTACTGATACATGCTACAACTTGGATGAACTTTGAAAACATTATGCTAAGTGAAAGAAGGCTATCACAAAAGTCCACACATTATATGATTCTGTTTGTATGAAAATCCAGAACAGGGAAATCTAGAGACAGAAATTATTTTACTGGTTGCTTAGGATTAGGGGAGCGAAGGAGGCACTGGGGATGAGGTTTTTTTCTGAGGTGATTAAAATGTTTAAAATTAACAGTAATGAGGGTTGCACATATCTGCGAATACAGTAAAAACCACTGAATTGGACACTATAAATAAGCGAATTGTATGTGAATTATATCTCAGTAAAGCTGTTTTTTAAAAAAAGAGAGAAGAAAAAATTGGGGGGTTGATACATGCTACATCGATGAAACTTGAAAACACTGGGCTAAGTAAAAAATTGTGCAAGTGAAAGAAGCTAGACACAAAAGGCCCCATACTGTATGACTCCACTTACATGAAATATCCAGAATAGGCAAATCCATAGAGACAGGAAGTACATTAGTGGCTGCCAGGTCCCAGGGAAGGGGAAATGGGAAGTGACTGCTTAATGGGTATGGGGTTTCCTTTTCAGATGATGAAAATGTTCTGAACTAGATAGTGGTGATGACAGCACAACCCTGTCAATTTACTAAATATCACTGAGTTGCATACTTTGAAATGACTGAAATGGTGAATATTATGCTATGTGCATTTCACCAAACTAAAAAATAATTGGGAGAAAAAATAAATATAAAGTACTATTATAATAATGAGAAATAATTACAGGAGGGAGATTTAAAAAAGAAAAAGATCAATAACCAACCTGGAAGTGAAGCAGGATACTGAACAAAAATACTCCTTGCATATATTTCTTCTGAAGCAGGATCAAATGAAAGGGGAGACATAGGTGGTAAAAGATCCACAGCCTTAAAACACAGAATTCACAATTTTGAAATAAATACATTTACTATCACCATAACAATGCTAAATTAATCTATGAATGGATGATTTTTTTTTCCTAACAAAGATAAAATTACCAAACACATCTTATAACTATTTTCAAACCAAAAAGTACAACATTAGGAACAAAGGGAATACTTTGTTTTACAGCTATGTCTCCAATGTCATAGTGCCTCACATCAAGAGGAAAGTTTCGTTTTCTTTTTAATACAAACCTCTAAATCTAGAAATACTAACTTTAAATGACAACAGCAGTTTAATGAATATTCTATTATATATTTAGACAAATTACAGAAACAAAAACATTTGAACTTTAGGCTCAGATGCAAAGATGACACACAGCATTTCTAGGTCATTTGTAACATGATAAATCAGGAGATTGCCATATATTAATCTACTCTCCAAAAGGCAAGTCAACATTACTTACTGGAGTTGAGCCTTTAATTAGACTGAAAGGAGAAAGACCAAGAAATTCTTTCCACTTTTTATGCCATTCTCCTTGCTTTTCAACTACAGAATGTCTTATAGTTGTGAGATCTTCTTTAATTTTATACCTGTAATAGCATAAAAAATAACTTTATTCAAAACATGAATACAAAAAATCTAAGTAAAATTTAAGAAGACAACAATAGTTGCAGGGAAGGGGAAGGAAACAGTCATATAAAAGTCCAGCTGTATGAAAGTCCAATCAATACAGCGCATATAAATTAAATAAACTCACACATATGAATATTCAGAACCTAAAATACCTTTTCTCATTTTAAGACCAGAAAGCGATCATACATCTATTACTCCATTTATTTTTCAAATACAATTTTTTTCCTGGCTCTAAACTTCAGTCAGAATTTTACTCCTGCTTATCCATTCCTAAAGACAGCTCATACCTTCCAGTCTTTCTGCTCAAATAAAGAACTTTTCTTTTTTTTTTTTTGGTGACCAGTAAGGGGATCGCAACCCTTAGCTTGGTGTCGCCCGCACCGTGCTCAGCCAGTGAGTGCACCGGCCATCGCGCCGCTGCGCTCCCAGTGCCGCACTCTCCCGAGTGAGCCATGTGGTCGGCCCATAAAGAACTTTTCTGAGGCCCAGTTTTATTATTAGACCTAACAAAAGAGAGAAGCTAGAGAAAAGTTAAAATTACTCCATAAAGAATTATTACTCGGGACAATTAATTTATCCCAGACAAAGAAAAACTACATTAATTTTCCTTTCTACTTCATTTGTCTCTACAGGAGTTGATTACATAAGGCTTTCGAGTACTAGTAAAATTTTCACACTTGATTGCCAAAGCTGAAGAGTAACTATATAAGACCTTTTGCTTAGAAAACCACCCTACTCCTCCCACAATAAAATAACAGAAGGTCTTTCTAGTGTACCTCATATGCTTCAGATCTGATAATCTTTCCCTCTGAAATTTGGTCTCTTTTTCAAGGTAGTGAAGGTCTATTGTCAATCTTGCTTGGTCAGCCTGACAACGTTCATGTTTCATTACTTTCAAGACTTCATTTAATAACTGAATAACTGTTAAGAGGTTCAATTTTCCAGCCTCATAAACATTTCCTATGTGCAACTAAGGATTCAGAGGGGAAAAAAAGCAGTGAACTATAGGTTCGTAAGATAATAAACTGTTATATAAATATATTTATTTTTTACTATGATATAAAAAGTTTACCTTAAAGAGAGTGAGAAAAAAAATCAATTCCCCCCCAAACATAAAACTATGTAAATAACTTTGATCTGGTGAAAACCACTGTGGAAGAATTAACATGCTGTGTTATATTTTATATTAAAGGTTGAAAATGCAAAAGGATAGAAAGAAAAATAAAGATTGAGCAGAAAGAGCAGGTTTGGGGAAAAGATCATTAATTCATTTTTTAACAAAAGTCACATTGAATTAGATTGCAGTTGGTTTTGCAAGGGCTTACATGTATGTGGAGGCATCTTCAGGCCAAATTTAATTTAACATTACCAATAAAAATTTGAAAAAATAAATAGTAAATTTGATTTACACAAAAAAGTTTTAAAAATATATTTAAGGTCTGTTAATATTTTATATGATTTTTTATATCAAAGTAAAAAGAAATTGGCAATAACTCAAATATTATCAACTCTACTTTGAATATAACAACCAAAATAATTAAATTGTATGTAAAAGAATTGTGAAAAGTGTACATAAGGAACTTCACAATGATAAATTGTTCTTGGACCCATACTGTAGAAAAGACTACAGTATAAATACTAATATGTATAAAATATAAATTTAATATTTTTGACACAATATTTATATGTAACAATACAAGAGTGTACATAAGGAACTTCACAATGATAAATTGTTCTTGGACCCATACTGTAGAAAAGACTACAGTATAAATAATAATATGTATAAAATATAAATTTAATATTTTTGACACAATATTTATATGTAACAATACAAGATATTTTAGTGTAATTTGATATAAAAGATTTACTTTTCATGAGAACTTGTATGCCACATAAAATTAAAATAGTTACATTTGCAAGAAAAGAAAAAATTACAACCATTCTATTACAAAAAAAAAAGTCACAAATCGGTGACCCCTAAAGGTTGCATCCAATCTTCGACATGTTTATTTGGCTTGCACAGTTCCAATGTTTTAAAATCATTTGAATTAGTTGCCAATATTTTAAAAATCATAGATCTCATGTAAAAATTACTATAGTAATTTTCTCCAAAGACCTCATCACTTTCCTACTTTCTCCCTATTGTTACACATAATTAGTGAACTTCATTTACATTCATTACCTGCCTAGACCCTGTAGGAATCTGAGTTTGCAGATCTTCATTTTTATGCACTCTGAATTTGATGTGCCTGTCATGTTACCAACTAAAGTGAAAGCTCTTCAGAGTTACAATATTTTATCTTTGTATCCCCTATTCTATAATCAATACCTGGCATACTATATATAGTAAATGCTTAATAAACTGTGCTTACCAAGAAAAAAATATGTAAGCTAACCAGATGGAAATGTCCCATAAGCAAGTGGAAGTAATTAGATGGAGTTTCGGTTGAAGAAGAGAGACTGGAAATACCAATTTCATAAAATTAATTGTAGAGGAGGCTATTGAAGCCATGGAATTGGTAAGAAAATACAGATAAACCTGTAATGAAGGAAAGGAAAGGGAGCATTTAAGGAACCACAGAGAACAAGTTCACTTAAAAGTTAGAGAAAACAGAACCAGTAGAAAAAACTGAGAACAGCAGTCTGAAGAACCACAGGAAAGCAGAGACAAGAAGTGACAAAGCTAAAGGAAGAAAAGACTTTAAAAGGAATGTCTAATAGCATCTAGATAAAAGACAAACCAGAAGTTGGAAAATGTTAAAAGGACATTTGGTAATTAGGAGATCATTGCTGTTCTCTTTGAGAATTTATAAAGAACAGGTACAGTGTCATCTTCCTATGTAACGTAATACTCTCTACACTACAAGGTTACTTCAAGAAGTTCGTGGAAAAATGGAATTAAAAGAGAATATGAATCCTTCCATTAACTTTCTGAAGTACTCTTGTATTAGACAGAGTACTGTGGAAGGTATAAACAATTAATAAAAGTTAATGAATATAAATAAGCACACCTTTATGAAGTACTCCTCTTTATGAAGGTTTTACTAGATATATTCACAAAAATTAATTCTGAAAGCAGCAAAAAAAATATTGCAAGAAAAACAATTTTTAATATATAAAATAACTACCTGAGGGGAATTTTCTCAAAACCTTCCTTAATATCAAATGCTTACCTGACACATCTGTTTCTCAATTTTGTCAAGTAACAGCCTTGGAATATTAATAACAACATCAGTTCCATCTAAAGTATACTGGTTAACAAGACTGAGGACTGAACTAACAACTTCTCTCTCTTTTTCCAAAAACGTGAGTGTTTCATTCACTGAAGCCCACAAAGACCGAACCTTTGAAAACAGAGACACACAAAATATTAAAGTCCATACATTATCTGTACATATGATAAAGAAATGTAAACATAAATATATACCCAGTCCTAGAAACAAATGAAGTATTCCTGAAATGATTTCTGGTGGGAAAACTAAATAACTATATTTTAATGGTTTAAAAGCACTGATTTACTTTTTTTTTTTTTTTTCTTCTCTTTTTTGTGATCGGTAAGGGGATAGCGTCATCTGCACCGCACTCAGCCAGTGAGCGCACCAGCCATCCCTATATAGGATCCGAACCCGCGGCCAGAGCATTGCTGCGCTCCCAGCGCTGCACTCTCCCGAGTGAGCCACGGGGTCGGCCCGTAAAAGCACTGATTTACTTCTGCAGGGGCCCTAAAACTAAACAATTTCTCAGAAGAATCTAGCTATGATTTTCAACAAATCTAATAAATCTTACACTATCAAGATACAATTGGCATTTCCTGTATTCTGACATGCTATCAATCTAACAAAGATTTCTCAGGGAAAATAAAAAGATTTTCAAGAGAAAAAAAAATACTATACATCAATTTTAGGCCATTCAGTTTTCAGAAAAGCAACAACATGGGGAAAAAAAGTTTTCTTTAAAAACAAATAATCTTAGGCATATATTAACACATGTTCACTAAAATTCATGTACAAGAATATTCATAAGACTTCTATCTGTAATAGTCAAAAACTGGAAACAATGCAAAGATCTAGAGTAAAAAGGGTATAATGTGCTATTTTCATAAAATAGAACACTACACAAGAATGAAGACACAACTACACACAACAGCATGGATAAATTTCACAATGTTGAGTCAAAGAACTAAGACACAAAATAATACATTCTGTATACCTCCTTTTATATAAAATTCAAAAACAGGCAAAACTAATCTTTAATGTAAGAAGTTAGGATAGTATTTACCCTTGGGGAGAAATGGTTGTAAATGAAAATGAGTTTGAGAATGACTCTGGAGTGCTGGTAATGTCTATTCCTTAAAAAGGATACTGGTTACATGGGTGTGTTGGTGATCACAGAATCACAACAAAGAGCTTGGGAAAGATTCCATCCAAAAAAGAAAGCCTAGTGCTCGCTTCGGCAGCACATATACTAAAATTGGAACGATACAGAGAAGATTAGCATGGCCCCTGCGCAAGGATGACACGCAAATTCGTGAAGCGTTCCATATTTTTGAGCTGGAATCAACCCAAATGTCCATCATCGGATGAGTGGATACGGAAAATGTGGTATATCTACACAATGGAATACTACTCAGCTATAAAAACTAATGAGATACTGCCATTTGCAACAACATGGATGGACCTTGAGAGAATAATATTGAGTGAAACGAGTCAGACAGAGAAAAAGAAATTCCACATGTTCTCACTCATTGGTGGGAGCGAAAAAAAAAAAAAGAAAAAAGAAAAACAAACAAACTAATTCACCCACAGACACACACACACACACACACACAAAAAAAAAAA